GATACGTGCCCAAGATTAAAGTTAGTTTACTATGTTTGCTCCTTGATGAGTTTTTTTTCTTTCCATTTTTGCATAGCTTCTGCATAATGTTATAAATGGCATCAAAATTTTCTTTTGCTCTTTACAACTATTTTAAATGGAATGATGGAAACAAGGCAGCAGGATTACTATACATGACAAAACTTATTGGAGCAAATAATGCAAGTTTAAGAAGCACTCAGGCATACAGTTTTCATAGACTTACATTGAATTTTAAATTATTATTATTTATATTACTTTGTATCATTCTATATAGTAGTTACCAAAAGTCTTTGAATCAGAAAAATCAAAAGCTTTCTGGCTTGCTCTGAATTAGTAACAATGTCCTCGACATTGAATTAAGCAAGCTTCAAACTCAGTATCAGACTACTCACTTTTATGGAGAGAGCTAGCCACTAAAATAGTAGTTTTTCCTCTTTAAAAAACAGAGAAATGAGACAAAATGTGACAGATGTCAGTTAAGTGCCTAAGAGTACTGCTGGAAAGATGGTCCACCAGTAAGATGAGATGCATGAACTGAACAGCAGTCCATATCCTCTTCCCACTACCAAAATTATACACTGATTCAAGAACTGACTTTTTGCAAGGTTGTAATTGTATTTTATTTTCTTGATACTGTCAATTTGAATGTTATAGAGAATTTATACTCTTGGTTACACCATGTAGATTTGTACTTGTTCATTTCTATTACATAATTACAATTTTTTTTTTAATTTAACAGGGTCATAAAGTCTCAGAGAGAAACATACAGAGCATATGTAGCTGCCTGTGGCTATACTAGAAGCTATCTATGGTGGGATGTGAAAATCATGCTGTTCTTGTAGCTAGAAGTTATTTGTTCTAATTTTAATTACTTTTACAGCTATGGACTATGTTTACATAAAAGACATCTGACTTGCAAGTTGATTCATTTGGACTAAATGTTAAAGGGGCTAGAAAGCATTAAGAACCAGTGAAATATTGGGAAAATGGCATCTATTGTAGAAAAATATCACAGGCAAAAAGCCAGTATAAAAACACCAGGACAAAACGTTGGAAGCATCAGCACAAATCCCTGCAGAACTTGCCAAATAGCAAAGGAAACTGCTGAGGGAACATTTTCTACAGTATATCTTGGTCTTGTAATGCTCAGCCAGATCCCATGTGTGGCTTTGTTTGTTTACCCTTGCAATTGGCAAAGAATATAAAAAAAAAAGGAAAAGAGCTCAATAAATGTTGAGAATTACAGACTGCAGAAACTTATTGAGTGAGAAGTCAGAGTCTAACAAAAGACAACGTGTTTTATAAAAATAGAAAATAAATCCATTTTATAGGTCTGATAAGTAAATATAATGACAACATTATATCTTAGTATGTAGTAAGAATATTATTAAAAGGATTTTTCAGAAGAAATATATTATTACCATGATTTAAAATATTTAAAGAGGCTAGTTCAATAGTATACAAGGAATCTTTTACAAATTGTCAGTGATTTAACAAAACATCTGTAAGACAAGCTATAATTTTAAATATTTCATAGAACTCCACCATATAGGGCAATTTGTATGTTTAAATGCATAAAATTATTTATTTATCAGAATTGAGTTTCTAATTAATATGTGCAGTTACTGATATGCAACACTGCTTTAATGAAAAAGGGTTGAACAAAGAAATCTCCAAATAAAGTTGAAGGAAAATTACATTAATGGGGCAGTGTGTACCCTGATTTCACTAAATATTGGAATAAATAAAAAGTAACTAACAAAGCTAATCTTTTAAACACCAATTTATAAACAACATGCAACACAAAGATAAATAAGATACATCTAAAAATATCCTGGAGAGCAACAAATGCAGTTTCTGACAGATCAAGAGCAGTCCAAGCAGGCCCCTCCATACGCCCCTCAAGTCTCAGGCTGAGTTGAATTATTCTTGTATAAACTTAGTAGCAGAGAAAAAGAATTCTGCCCTGCCAAAAGGCAGACTCCTCTTAAAAAACAAAATAAAAATATGCAAAGGCTTAGCTATATTCTTTTTCATTAGCTTTGAAATAAAGGCACACAAAGAAATCTCACTGGTGAAGGTTAAAACACACAAGACAAATAGTTCAGCTGTGGAAGTCCTTATCACAGACTTTTATGGAGATGAAAGTACAGTATATTAACACAATTCCAAAGAAATTAGGCAAATTCAAGACTGACATTAAATGCAATGGTCTTGATCTCTAGTTCAAATGCCCCCAGTTTATTGACTGAGAAAAAATGTGAAGGTATACAAGAAGAAGGATCTTTCTGTATCTTATTCCTTATTTTTGTATCCTACCCTATTATTATTGGCTGCTGGTGAACAATATGGACCATTTTGATCAAGTATTCTGTATTCTTTTATGAATATATTTTTATTTTTCAATGAACTTAGAATCCCTAGGTTTTTTTCTTTATTACTTGCCTTCTTCACCCAGCTCCTTCTCATTTTTTTTGTTTGTTAATTTTTAAAATTATCTTAAAGTATATACTTGGCTTTAATTTTTTTTTAATCTTTCATTTCATTAAATATATATTTCACTATGTCTCTTTTAAACTAACACTTCTTTCTATTCTCTGATATTTCTCAATTAATTTCTCTTCTATTCCTTATAGAGATGTGAATATGGAAATAAGACTAAACACACATTTTACAGATTACATAACTTGCAGAAACAAATGGAATAGTTTCATAATACTATATTTGTCATTACAAAATACTTACCACTCCTCGTTCTCCACTCAATCCTTCCACTCCCTTCAGGAATTAATATGAAAAAAAAAAAAAAAAAAAAACAAGTTGAGCCAAATTACTTGGAATAAGATTTTTGTCCTTTGTTTTCAATAACTAACCACAAATGTGAATTTTTAAAGATTCTGTGATTGCCATTTGCACAAAAAAACAGAATGTATATAAGGATTTAAAATGTATTTCATAGTGAATTAACTCTTTAGTAATACCTTTAATATCATAAACCAAAAGGATAAATTGGAAATATATCATACATATTATAAACAAATATATCATAGACATATATAGACAAAACCTTATTCACTCTACAAAAGAAACAACATTTTGTGTTCTAGCAAGAGGAAACTCCTGATTCTACCTGTTTAATATTGTCTTACTAGACAGAAATCAAGTTCAGAGCCTCTGAAATACAAACTCAGTTTGTAAGCCAGATTTAGCACATTGACAAACGGTTTTGGTGTCATTTCTGACAAATGGTTCAATGGTGTTACTGATCAAGTTCCATGGCAAGATGGTAGCTCAGTGCAGGCTATTTGATTTCTCTGATATAATCTTATGGACAGGGCAATCTATTGTATCATTGAAAATTCCTGGAGGCCTGAGAAACCTTGGAAGGACCTAACACAGTCTACCAGAAGTATGACTGATTTTTTGGCTGCTGCCCAAACTAGATAAGCATGGGAAACAATTTTAGACCAAGCCTGTATTATTTTTTTTCAGCTTTCTCAAAAAAAAAAAAATAAAAAAAAAAAAAAGGCAAGCATGTTTTATTTCACTATCACTCTATTTGATCTTATAACTACAAAATAAATATATGAAAATATTGTCCGTAATTTGCAAAAGGAAAACCTAGAAAGTTTAATTTTTAAAATGTTAGAGTAGGACATTACATTTGGTTAAGAACAATGATTGGCCTTTTAGTTTAAAGTATTTCTTTTCAAAAATATCTGCTCAGCTTACTACCAGACTCCTGTCAACCTACATACCCCTGAGAGTGATAAAACTAGGCTAACATACAATCTGGATCTCCTGCCCATGCTTCACTGGAATCAGCTCCTTCTGGCGAGACAGGAAGCTGTATCGATGTCGTAATTATGAAAAAAGCAAATGTGACTTCCTTCCAAGTCTAGTTTTAGATATGTACCTCTAACAAATATTTCTTTGTTTAGACACACCATAGGTTATGCAGTTAACAAGTATTTATAAATACTAACAGTTATTTTCTGTGGTATAACAAGATAGCCAGCTATGACACAATCAGAATACATTGGCCCAGAGTTAAAGAGAAACAACTGGATCTCACTCATTTGCAGCTGAAACAGGAAACATCTGTAATTTATGAGCACAGAAGATGTCAATAATGACTCCCAGTATAGTCTAGGAGGTAATGAACCACATGAAAGAGTAGCACGGTACATGCAAAATCTTAACATCTCAAGCATCACTCATAACCTTTACCTAAAAGCCACTTTGTTCTGTTATCTGCATTTTATATTATTTATAATTGTTTCATTAAAATTTTCCATAATTAAGGATTTAATAAAATAATCCAGAAAAATGTACTTCCAGTCTGTTTCTCAAGATATAATATCCGAGAATCACACAAATATGTAGGTTGGAAGGGACCTCCATGGGCTCAACTTCCTTTTCAGTACAGATCCAGCCAGAGCAGGCTGCTCAACGCTCTGTCCAGACAGGTTTTGCCACAATCTCTGTGAGCAGCCTGCTCCAGTGTTTGACCACCCTCAAAGCAAAATGCTTTTTCTGTATATCAAGTTGGGATTTCCTTTGTTCCAGCTCTTCTCCATTTCCTCTCATCATTCCACAGTGCACATCTGAGAAAAGTGTGTCTCCATCTTCTCTATATGCATTGTATTTGTTATTTTAAAAATACTAAGGTTGTTTAAGAGGTAATTTATATAACTATGTGTGTTGATTTTGGGGGGGGAGGGGTGATTTGGCAGCGGGGGAAGGGGCCAGCTTGTGAGAGTGAAAGCTCCCCTGGCTCCAAGGCGGAGATCCCCCATCCCAGGCTGAGCCAATGAGCACTGGAGAAACACCTCTGCAAATCCATATTTGTGACGGGAAGGACTGTCCTGAAAAGAGGAAGGTGGAGAGAACCTGGAGGAGAGACCATTGACCTGAACAAAAGATGAACATCAGCCAAAACAAAGAGAGAGCTTTGTTGCCAGAAGGAAGGAGGAGGAGGGGGAGGACAGATATCCAGTTCAAGTGCATGGAGTAGGAGAAGGCAAAGGAGGTCCCTGCAGCCCATGGAAGTTCAACGGCGGAGCAGATACCCATGTGTAGGCCATGGAGGACTCCAAGCTGGAGCAGAGAAGCTGAGCCCAAGGGCAAGTGAGAATAAACTGAGACCCTGAGAGTCGCTCGATGCCAGAGTCGGGGTGAGGAGGTGCGCTGAACCCGAGGTCCATCTGCAGCCCATGGACGTCCCCATGCCAGACCCAGGAGCTGAGCCCAAAGAGGTCCATGACTCCATGAGAAGCTTGTTTTGGAACATCTTGCTCCTGGACTTTCATGCCGGGAAGAGCAGCAGTGGTGAACTGACTGCAACCCCCATTCCCTGCCCCCTGTGCCGCTGAGGGGGGAGACGGTAGAGAAATCAGGAGCAAAGTGATTTGAGCCCAGGAAGAAGGGAGGGGTGGGGAAAGGTGGTGTAAGATGTGGTTGTTATGTCTCACTGCACTTCTCAGATGAATGGCAATGAATTAAATCGATTTTTCTTCCCCAAGCTGAGTCTGTTTGCCCATGACCATAACTGATGAGTGAGCTATCCCTGTCCTTCATTCCTAATCCCGTGCCCCCTTTGGTACTGTGATTCCCTTCCCATCTCAGCGGGTTGGGGGAGTGAGTACAGGACCACATGGTCTATCTGTGTTTAAACCACCACACTATGTAGTCATTCAAAAAATAAATTTCACCTGATGCAAAGAACTATCCATGTTGATGGTAGTAATCTTAAGAAACAAATATGAATCATAGCTTTCTTGAAACAGGATCACTACTTTATCAGTACCTGTAAGCCTGGATTTCCTTGTCTTCCTTTTTCCCCTTTCAGTCCCTTTAGAAAAGAAGCACATTTTCTTAAAATATACATTTATCTGGGAGATATAATTAAACTATCACAAATAACACAAAGAGATAATCCTCAACTCTCATCCTAAACCAGGCCAAATCAATCCAAAAAGTTACTTTTCAAGAGTTCAGAGAAGAAACTGTGCGGAAGCACACCATTTCTACTCTGAACACAGAGGAGTAAAGTTAGGATCTAAGTAGTGACATGATACTCTCCTTGTACGTATTTCCATTACTTTTAGATAACAAGGAGGAAAATACAACTTGTTATAATACAGTAGGTAGGCAGAGGCCAGATGGGGTTACTTTGACTATGGAGAGTTGACATTATCCCACAGTGCCTGGGGCAGGCAGGGACAGAACCCATCCCAGGAGAGTGCTGGGTCATGTCCCAGCCCCCTGGGGCAGCAGCACAACCCACATCCCCCAGCCCACACCACTGGTAGGACCACACAGCTCTGCACAAAACATCAATAGCCTGCTCAGCCCCACAAACACAGCTAGAAACTCATACTGGGAAGTTTTCCTTGAAGAAGAGCTAGGGCTCACTGCTGCTATTCTTCAAGAAAACCTTCTGTGGAAATTAATCTTAAAAAAAAAAGCTCCAGAATTATCATTTAAGACTTGTATTAATAGCGTTGACAGATTATTTCATTAGAAACAAAAGTTGATATACCTGGATACCACTTTCACCTTGGTTTCCTTTGTCCCCCTGTAAAATAAGAAAAGGCTCCATTATAAAATGATTCATCCCAAAGACATGTAGTCTGTGTTTTAATTTAACACAGTAAATAGAAGAGAAGCATCTAATAGCTTGAATTTATACTGAATGAAAACAAATAATTTTATCCCCATGTACACAAACACTGAGAAAAGTATAGAAAGTTATACTAAGAAGGGATTCTGTCATAGAAAGAACTATAAAAAGAAAAGTGGATACTCATATATCAAGTTAAAATTTAAAAATACAACATAATGAGGTGGTAAAACTAGCAGGATTTTATCCTTTCAGTGTATGCCAGTGGAGAGGATGTAGGCAGGGAGGGGGGCAGTATTTCTGATGGGTTAAATTTAATCTGAATGCTAACCACTAAGTATGCTTGCCTTCACCCACAGAGAATATAGAGTATAAATAATTTCTATAACACTTAATATAAACTCACTGAATGGAGAGGTTATACATGACACACCAAAGAAAAAAAAAATTTTAATCAGACAAAAAAATATATTTAAATTTAATCAAAACTGTGTTAATGTCTGTGTATGAAGGGCTTCATCTTTCAAAAGGTAGTCCTCTGCATTGCTGGCAATGCTACACAGATGCATTATCATTTTTTACTAACTGCTTACTCCTATCTGCCACCTTAGCTGACCTTCCTTTGCTTTTACAGGATTTCCTGTTTATTCTGAAATCTGTAGTTTGAATATGTAATGGAGGAGCCCTAATTGAGACTCCAGTATCTCCCAGGAAACATTGCTAAATTTCCAACAGAAGTGACAGATACATTACCTAAATACATTTAATTTATTTTTAATATTTTTTATATTTTCAAATTTGAAGTTATTATTAAATAAGTTCAAATATAATTACAAATTTCACTTATTAATTTGTGGTTTTAAAGTAATATTGATTTTTAAAATTTTAAATTTACATTTAAATATTAAATTTGGGCTGATAGCAAATATAAGAACATTTTTAGCTTCCACAACTTGTTGCTTGAATAAATATCTAGTTTGAACAGTTTCAGGTAAAGCTTGTTACAGTAAACTGTATCCTAAGGAAATAAGTCTATCTGTTACATGACATCAGATCACTTATATTGCCCCAATGAAACAGCATAACATTAAAATAAGTTTTATATTCGTATATGCCAATTAAGAAACTAATTGTAAAAAAAAAATAATCTTTGTCACGTTTTCCCATAAAAATACAATAAAATAACGAAAGTAAAACAGTACTCATTACCTTGCAAAGCAATTAAACATTTAATTTTCAGGATACACATATTATTGCTTTAAAAGTGTCCATAATAAAGAAATCTTAATTAAAAATCAGACTAAAAATGTAATGGCTATAAGTCAGAGCTTCAGTTATCATTAGAATTCATTGATTTACAGCAATGAAACTGATTCGACTTCAATCAATTTTGAACCATGAAAGCTGACAAGTGTTCAACCCCGAAATTCTCCTCAAATCATGTTATTGAAGATTACAGTGAATATTTTTTCCCCAGCTGTTTCAAATAAACATGTTTCCTTCACATAAATTTGCCTAATAGTATATGTAAAGTATAAATTCTTGGTCTTTCTCTGTTTCTTGGTTAAGTTACACAGAAGAAAGGTGCCATCCTGAAAACAACACCATCTAGAAAACACAACTCTGTTAAGTTCTTTGTAGATACCCACAGGGTACAAAGAGTAGTGATTTTCAATTCCTTCTAATTTTCAGGTTCTTAAATCTCATTCTATAGACAAAGCACAGCTGATTTTTCCTCAAGAGACTTAGTTCACACTCAGGTGAGTTCTCTTGAATAAGATAAAAATAAATCAATATTTTAAAACATTAAATAATATTATAGGGGTTTTCCAGCTTTCAGTCAAACAAAAAGTTCTGGTTTATTGGCTGAGACAAAACTGGGAGATTTCAACCACACAGGAGATTTTCAATAGAATGCTGTCATCTTATAGAAGAAAATCTCTAGAAAAACATTTAATATCATGTTAATTACAGTTTTAAATTATGCAGAAAGCTGTGTGCTTGAATTTCAGAACATACCAAAGAACAATATTGCCTTTTCAATATAATCTTTGAATTGTTCTAATATAGAACAATATAATCTTTTCAACCTGGGACTCCTTAAAGACATGTGACTGTGAGAAAATCCTACATACCTACACTTTAAAAATAAGGATGACTATCCAGAGAAGTCAAATATCAATATGAAACTTTACAATGTGTTCACAGAACAGTTCTTTAGCAATGAAGAATTTCAGCACAACCACATCTATAGCAGTGTTTGATAGATATAAGTCTGCACCAAGAGATTGTGAGATCCTTGTAGGCATGACCTTTACGAGAAATCAGTATGCAAGAGGAATAAGCATAGGTTCATCTGAAAAGAAGAAACAATTTTCAACCTGTACAGTAGAAGCAGGATCCATCTAACCTAACTTTTGACATCTAAAATGTCAACAGTTAATTTAGCCAACTGTCTAGGCTTCAGCTCCAGTCAAAAAAAGACGTAGAGATGTGAATTAATGACTTCCCAAGGAGCTGAGTCTCTCTCAGCTAAATATGGAGAGAACCTGGACAGCCTTTGAACAACAGACTTGATAGACGTAGCACTTTCTACAAGATATAAGATTAAGTAAATAGAGAATCATGGATCATACCATTATGTATCATAATTTATCACGGAAATTTCATTAATACCCATGTTGTAGCATTTTATGTTAACCGTTTCTCCATTTTGTCCATTTTCTCCTCCCTATGAAAAAAATCATTGTTTTTTTAAAGAATGGGCCTTCCAAAATATGCCAACTATTCTCTAACAATAATGATGTATTTAGAAAAAGGATTTATTTAATAATGATCATTGACAATAAAAGCATTTCCAATAAAAGATGCAATTAATGTAAAACTGGAAAAAATACTTACCTTTATACCCTGTGTACCAGG